CCTGCTCGCAGCACCAGCACCGGCGGCTCCCGGCTCTCTAGGGCGGTGCGGAAGCGCCCTCCCCTCCCGCCTGGAGGTACCAGCCCTGCCCGTGCCCCGCAGGGAGCGCGGCCACAATGGCAAAGGCTTGCGGGAGCTTCAAGGGGCTCCCACCCGCAGGGGGATGGAGCTGGGGCCCCGGGGTAGCAGCAGCCCTCTGCCCCTCCCCTTCGCGGGGCTTTGCAGGGCGCCGAGTTTGGGAGCTGCCCCCCCGGGTGCGAGAGCGGAGAGGCTGCGATTGCCCCCGCGGTTCAGACTGCGCGCGCCTGGGCTTGCACTGCGGGGAGGGGGCTAGGGTTTGCGCCCTTGGCCGGAGTGAACCACCCTGGCCCAGCCTTGGGGTCCTGGGATCCTTTGCTCGGGCTCTTTGTGTCCTAACAGCCTGCGAGTGAGAGTCAGCCCAGTGTGTGCATGTGAGAGCGCGTGTGAGTGAGAGTGAGCACGGGCTCAGGTGAGCGAATGAGTGGGAGCATATGTGAGAGCATGTGCAAGTGAGCACAAATGAATGAAAGTGAGTGGGTGTGCATGGCTAAGTGAGCATGTGTATGTGTGCATGTGTGTGTGGGTGTGTGAATGAGTGAGCATGTGCATGCAAGTGAAGGAGCATGTGTGTGAATGAGTCAGCATAGGTGAATGAGTGTGTGCACACATGAGAGCGTGTGTGAGAGTGTGCGTGTGTGTGCATGAGTGAGCGTGTGCATGTGTGAGTGCACACATGGGTGAGGGAATGAGTGAGCATGTGAGTGAGCATGAGTGAATGAGTGTGTGCAAGAGCAAGTGTGTGAATGAGTGAGCGAGCATGTGAGTCTGAGCATGTGTGTGTAGGAGCATGTGAGTGAGTGTGAGTGAGCATGGGGTGCGTGTGAGTGAGTGAGCACGAGAGTAAGCATGAGATGAGTGTGTGAGGGTGGGTTGAGAGTGTGTGAGTGAGCATGGGGGTGTGTGAGTGTGTGTGTGTGTGTGTGTGTCCATCTGTGTGTGTTTAGCAGGACTTGCCCATTCTGAGAGCTGAATAGATGGGCTTGGAGCAGGAGTGCTTTCCAGGAATTTAAATGAGACCTTCTTTGCGGTTGCTTTCCAAGGCTCTTCCACTCCCCTTTATGTTTGTTTTCTCAGGTTGAACTGCAGACTACCAGTTAGGTGGCTGGACTCTCCCATGTAATCTTGTCAAAGGGTGGCAGAAAAAGCTTCCTTGTAATAGGAAAAAGTTGATCCTTTCTGTGAAATCTGTAAAATGATTATATATTTTATCAGGAACTTGCATCTGTAATAACTTTCAACTTAGACACAGCCAGCTCCCTCTGTATCTTCTCTAGCTTATGATAACTAGCCTCTGTCGTTATTAGAAAAAAACACTTTCAGTTGATTCCCTGTCCAAATAGCTTATTCCCTTACATGGTTTAAGGTTTACTAATTTAATTCTCTCACATGTTGGCAGGGAGGGGAAATGTTAAGCAATGGGTGGGACAATGGCAACCTAATGGCTTTCAAGCTAATCTTCAGTTTTAAGTCACTCAACTTCCTAAGCTTTGCACGTTTTCATTTGAAAGGTCAGACTGTGTCCGAACCTGAACGCAATTTTTTCCCCCAAAGCTTGAGCAAAAAAAAAAGAAAAAGATACAGTTCAGCTGGTTTTGATAATAAGGTGCGTTCAGCAGAGGTCAATGTTTTTCTCTCTGAAGCTAAAATTCCTGCAGATTTTTTAGCAGCTCATTCCTGTCAGTGATTGGGGTTTGCAAACTGAAATTTGACTTTAAAACTGGCCCTCTATCAGAAGAGGTGGCTTTTGAGTTTTCTGATAAAAAATTTTATTTGACTGAAAGTCATGAGAGTGCGCACCATGTTAAGTGCACCTTTTTTGCTAAGACCATAAATCATACAGCTAAGGAAAGTTGTGTTGTACATGCAGGAGTAAATGGCTAGCTCATCTATGAAATGAGAAGGCTGTGTCCTGTGGGCAAGAGTTAGGAGGGCCTTCCTTGGCAGGGGTCTGCTTCACCCACCCAGGAAGAACTCTGGTGAAGACATAAATGTTCCTGGTACAGGTTGCTTCTGAAATGTAAATGGCAAGATAGGGACCTTAGTGGGAGCTGCTGTGTGTTTTGCAAGGTTTATAGGAAGAAGCGTCCTGTGACGCACCTGTGCAGCTGGCCTGTGGTGGTAGGTCAGATGTTTTCTCTTGTGGTCCATATGCTCATAAGTCAGGTTTTAGAAATGCATTGCAACAGAACTGATATGTAAAGTTACTTCTTGAGTGTTTTACCCTTTCCCCCTTGTTTTCTCCCCCCTTGAAAAATGGACAAAATTATGTATTGTGAGAGAATTCAATTATAAAATGTTCTTAAGAGAATGTTGAGATTACACATCTAGGTGCCCGAGTAAGAAAATGTTAAAAGGAACCTTCCTTAACTAGCTTGTTGGGCAGGAAAATTGTGAAAATGTTCACGTCTCATGTCATGCAGCATATCGCATTCACATAGGAGCAGAATAAAAACTGCATATCCATTTTTCTGACTTTTTAAAATTGTTTCTCATACATAGTTATTTTCTTTTATGTCCTGCCCCCCCTTTACAGAATCTGAACCTTATTCTTGTTTAGTAGAAGTGAGAAATGGTGCAGTTCAATAAACTCAGAGAAACCATATGGTTATCTAGATCAGTGGTCTCCAAACTTTTTTGATTGCGCACACCTATCAGTAAAAAAATTTTTGAGCATGCACCCCCAATATATGTATATTTATTTATAAATTATATACATGTACTACTCGCATACTGTATGTGACACAGGACCGTCTGACATACAGACCAAGTGAGGGCACCAGTGTCAATCCGTATATTAAATATTAGTAAAGCTTAATTTCTTTCTTAATTTTTTAGATAAAAAATAAATATAAATAGAAGTTCTAATATTTTCTTCCCACACCCCAATGGATCATCTTGCACACCCCCTGGGGTGCGTGCACCCCACTTTGGAGACCACTGATCTAGACTGGCGTCCTGAATAGAGTTACTAAATAGTTACACCAATAGTGTGCTCTGGATTTTTATCAGTTCATGCTTACTGATAATTCAAGCTTGTCCAATTTCAAGTTGTTTCTGTTAACTCCATAAGAGTCCACTTTAAATTGTGGTGTAGGGTAGGGGTTCCCAAACTGGTACATGTATCCCTGGGGTATGCAGTTTGGGGGGGGGGCATGGGGGAGAAACTGTAATGGTGGATTTCATTTTCATTATAATAATTGGCATTTAAGGGGTTAAAATATTAAATGTATGGTGGTAGGGGTATGCAGGCAGCTGGTAAATCTGAAAGGGAGTACAAAGTAAGAAAAACCTTGGGAGCATCTGGTGTAGAATTTGCAGAGTGCCTGCTAGTGATCTGCAGAGGTAGACAATATGGTCTCTGGTACTGGCTCTCTCTCCTTATGTTGCCTATTAATGGCATTATGAGAAAATAATTATTTTTTGGCATATTAAGTGTCCATATAAACCATTTCTGTAGTTGCTGTTGGGATGTGATGTATTTACAAATTATGGGGGCAGAGGGGCATGCTAATGGAGCTCAACAGAGATTGCAAATGGAGGGAAGGTGGTCAGTGAGGCAGTTGGCATTTTGAAAAAGTTGTGATGACTCTCCTGCCACAATAACTTTGCAACATGGGCGTTAGGATTTCATTCAGACAACAGAATACCTGGTTTTGCTATCACTTTTGCAGTGCAGTTCCAGAGTCTATTTTGCTGAATTAGGCTGTTGAGCCTCCTCTTGAATAAAGGTATTCTCGTAAATAACATGTTCTGATATTACTTTTTTTTGCATGTTTAATGTGTATTAAAAAATTGTGACTAATGCTGAAAGTAGTGACTGAAAAATAAACTAAAACAAGATAGGTTTTTCTTGAATCATTTCCTTATTGTTATAAAATATTAGGCTGCCTATAACTTGAGTATAACTGTAGAAGTAAATGGTTTATTAGGCACCATCTGACCTTTTGTCATGTTTAATTGCTTAGTGCAGTTGACTGTGTGCAGTATTCTGCAAAAATAATTGCTCTCAGACTTATCTGAACACGGTTATTTTTAGAGAAGCTGTGTACATGTTTCTGCTCTGAACTTTATACCTTTAAGGGCCTGTTCTGAATTCATGCTCCTTGCATTTTATATTTTATGTAGCTGAAAAAGTCACCTAATGTGGTTTTCGTGGGTTGTGCTAACTCAAAGCAATGTTTTGAATCCAATTACATACTATATATCTAGGGCTCTGTTAAAATTCTGTAGTTAGAAACAATCCCTTTTAAAATGTTGGCACAGATAATCAATTATAAAACTTAAAAGTTATGAGGTACGCGAGTTAAAGTGAGTGTTTCATTCATAGATGATGAGTATTTTGAAAGTGTCTTTGAAAATGCTTTAGATAGTGCATAGAGACATGAGAGGAAGTGCTGACTGTGTGCTAAAGAGCTTACAGTCAAAAACCCTGTAAACACATATACATAGGTATTATTTATGAAATGTATTCTGTCTCCCCACAAATGGAACTATGTTCCTGTGTTCAAAACTTAGCATGTGTATAAATGTTTGTATAATACAATATGAAGAAGTGAATTATATTACTATGTTAAATCTGAGTGACGATGTACAAAGCAGAATTTTATTTTTTGAATCTTTGAAAACACTAACATTATAATTTAGCCCCAGCTGGAATTTATAGAAGAGAGTTTCTTTTCTGACAAATGATTAGTGGTGATTCTTTAAAAAAATATATTTTTAATTTGGAAAAATCAAATTATTTTAGTCAAATTGCATTTTTTAAAAAGACTTGTATACAAATTTAATTATGAATTTGCAACCATTAGATGGAAGATTAAGGGTATCATAATGCTTATGTTTCAGTGTTGTAGTTGTGATGGTTCAAGAAATGTATGACAATGTTTGGGTATCCTGGTTGTAGCCGTATTGGTCTAGAGGAAAAGGCAATTGGGACTCGTAGTAGAGATGATATATTTTATTAGACCAACAAGGTTTTTGCAAAAAAAATTCTTT